ATAAATACTGCCTTTATCAGTAGARTGGCTGCAGTTGAGACTGCGAATCTCTCCTAGAAAATTCAAAGTCTGATGAAGGAGACACACATGAATTATTTTGTTTGGCAACTGTCATATTTAGCAAGCAGAAAAATAAAAAGTAGATTTTCACTCTCCTGTACTGTTAACTAGGTACTGTTTGCTTGTGTTTTGAGTCAGAGGATGTCACTGAATGCTGTTCTCTTCAGTTAAAAAAGTCAGTGCTGCTGCAGCCCATGCTGGTGTTTTAATGAAGTGTCTGTTAATCAAGACTTCTTGCTATTAAACTCTTGACTTAAAACTCCTGTACTTGCTTTAGGCTCTTGCAGCCCAGTGTAAGAACAATGTGGCTCAGCATTGCCTGCAGAGAGGAAGGACAATTGTGCAATTAAGGTTCAGGACTAGGATACACACTTTATGGATATCCCTTTCCAACWGATYTTCTTTGTAGTTGAWAAAGGAAATGATGACATATCTTTGAGCTACTTCAGACTTTTCCAAGATGYTTGAATRACAGGTACCCYAGAAGTAACAGAACAATTCTCACCMAACTGGATTTCCTACAGCAACTCTTCCAAAGAAAGAGATCTGAAAAAKGAATCAGGAATGGACACTGAACAGTTATAATGCAGTGATATGGACAGGAAGGGGCCTATAATGGGTGTTCTCTTTTTTTTATCCTCCTGAATGTGCTACCTTTAAAAGGTCAGTTGCAGGGTATCATTCTAGATGCAAYTAGAAAGTGAACTCCGTGGAAGGTGCTCTGCTCCCAGGTTTTCAGCCTGTGGTCAGTTGTCCATCTACAGCAGTGGCAGCAATACCCACTTAAGACTGTAGTGTACAGCTTGTCTTGAAATATTCTCCACTTCWTAGGAATTTTCTAACCACATTCCAATTTAATCACAGCTATCAGACTTGAAGCTATTTACAGGATGTTTATAGACTGTGGTAGGCAGGAAGTCAAGACTAGATGATCACAGTAGCCATATAATAGTAAAAAATTCAAAACAAGTTACAAGCCAGAGATTGTGCGTTTGTTTCAGAGACAATAGATCTTTTTCAGCTGCAGAGACTTTAGTAAAGGTAAAAGGAGAAGAATTTGGGTGGTGTCAGTTACAGGGAAAAAGGTCCCCTCTGTTTTGCAGCAGAGCCACAGAGCTATTTATAGCATGCCTTTCTAGCAGAGAGTTGCTGCCTCACAGCAAGCACAGCTCTGAGCTTGCTGCCAGGAGCTGTATGGAAAGGTTTCTAGTATCCTAAATTATTTTTCAGTTTCCATCAGCTATTCAACAGTGCTCTTACTCCAAACCCACAGGGACATCTTTCCTAGTCAGCAGCAACATTATCTGTGCCAATAAGCCCAGTAAAATGAAAACACCTTAGCTWGGCATTTTGGCTTTGTATCACAACACGTTGTCCCATGACTTGAGCTTTTTATTGTGGAGTTCATCCATTCTGGTAGAGTCAAGCCTCATGAAAAGTTCCAAAGGGGCTGGGTGAAAGAAGTAAAATGTCCGTGCTTTGCAGGGAAAACAGGATAACATAGGTAATGAATAGAAGGTAAAAATCCAAAACTCCTTGCTGATCATTGCTGCTCAAGTTTTCCATCTATCAGAATTCCAGACTCTGATATTGAGGTCAACATCATTCAAAAGGAAACTGAATAGGAAGGAATGGACAGTAAGATGCAAACCTACCTCATGAACTTTTTGCATGCAATCCTGCACAAGAAGTATTGGTCCTTGCCTTACTCTGAATCTTAAAGATTAACAGAAGATTGATTAGGATGGCCTAGGAATAATTTATACAGATGGCAATTTAAATGGATTAAGACCTGACACTGGTACAATGAGCTGTGCCAGATGTTTATCAAACTTGGAGCAGCTTGCAAAGTGCCASTAGAAATAGATCACTTATTTCCTCCACTGTACAAACCAGCAGCTTCAAATGAATCTAGCAGCAAACAAGTGCAAAACAAGTAAGAGATGGCAATTCTTCATAAAATGTAAGTGTGAAGTATCAGTCCCTTGGAACATAACAGATTCTGAGGCTAACTGAATAAAGTTCACTGATGGCTTTTAAACATGAAAGAACATAAACTGCAGCCAGAATATTAAAAAAACAGCCCACGGCAATGCTCAACTAATCTTCAGCAATATTTTGACCACAGCTGAAGACAAGATGCTGCATTACGTAGCTATTCAGTCTGATTCAAATCAGCTGTTCTTATGAGCAACTTTCAGCTGGCTTGTAAACAGGCCTGTTTCAGTTTAGAAAAGCGAGATTCTGCATTCAGCTTTTTTTTTTCCCCTTATGAATTTGGAAAAAATATGGAGTTTTGCAGATGTTTGTACTAGTAGTGGTCTTATACCATGCACTTTAACAAGTTAAAATGCAAGAGCAACTATTGAAGAGTTTTAAGAGCTGCCTCACAGCTAAAACAAACAAGGTCCTGCCAGAATAAGACAGTGCTCTGTACTTTTAAAGAAACCAAGGACAAGGCAGAGGGAGGGATGACATATAGTTACTGACACTTTGTAAATAACAAACTAAGGAAGTGTTAAGAAACAGAAATGAAAATAATTTGTCTCAAGTTAACTGTTCTGTACCCCAATTAAGCAAAAGACTCCAGATTTCCAGTTTTGTCTTCAGTGCAGTGAATACAGATTAAAATCCAAAGACAGGACTTTCTTTTCCTGTGCCCCAGATTTCACAACTCTAAAACAAATGCACACTACAGTATTTGAGAGTCTCCTCAGCAAGAGCAGAGATCCTTTCTCCTTTTTCCCAGAGGGAAGCAAAYACCAAGTTAGACAGCATCATATAAAATGTGGTTCTAGCCAGGCAGGTTTGTCTATTTGTGTTCTAAAAYCAGAAGTAAAACCATTTTCTCACAAAGAAACATCAGCTGCAACCTGAAACATAACCATACTGTGCCTATCAGATTCTCTGTGGTGTCCTACCTTTGAGCAGCAAGATGCCAATTCCAAATACTTCTTGTATTCTCCTTTACTACCAAAGAAAACCTGCAAAAACAGTATCTTGATTCTGTAATAAGATAAATGCTGATTTTCTCTACCTGTTTTCCATGATAAATCAGCTGACCACTATTCTTTGCTACCATGGAAATGGGTATGTCCTGTCAGAGGCATTTTCTTTTAAACACAAAATAAAGGCCTAATAATGTGATATCATTTGGAGCAGCAAGTGCAGCTGGAAGTGAAACAAATTTTGTGCAAGTACTGATGGTACCAGTTCCAAGGACATGTTTTTTTTCTGTTAGCTGCCTTATCTTTCCTGTAGGCTGGAAATCCTCTTCCCAGGGTTTGCTACAGTATCACAGCACCTCAGCTGCTGCAGCAGAGACCTGAGAATGCCTAGGAAAAGGCAGCCAAGGTGGAGCTGAACTACAAGTTCTTAAGAACACAAAACAAAACACAACCAATTTTCATTGGAAGAGCAACAAGACGGTATTTATCCTTAAAAATTTCTTTGATCAGAAACCCAGAGATCTGTCAAATCACAATACAWAAACAAATGCTGTGAACAGTTGTAGCAGGAAGAGCTCAGTTGGTAGGAATGCAAGGCTCCGGATATTGAACTCTTTGATGTTTCCACTTTACCTTTTCGGAGATGAAAGAAAATCTCTGCTCTTGTAGGCAGAGAGTAGGCACAAGCATGGGGGTACAAGAGACATTTATTTTACTGTAACAATTTCCAGATCAACCTAGACTAAAGGAAGACTGCMTGTCCTCTATCTCAGACTTATTTAATTACATGTGCTGTTGGAGAAGCCATCCAAAACCACAGGTGACAAGGTCTCCTGTCACYCCCTTCCCATGCCTTCTGACAACAGCCTGCTTTCTGTTCAAGCTTGTGCATTACTACCCCTGACTCAGGTGCTTCTCTGTTTTCCCTCTATTCCCACTCTCTATTTCACCAAAATCCAAGCCCTCTGCYGGTTAAGTGCTGCACCATGTCCCAGAACGACCCGTTGCAAATTCCTTCCCACTAAGTCATGCAGTGAAATACAGAGAGAGCCTGTTACAATGCCACTYCACCCTGAGTGCCAGCTGCTCTCCCTTCTGCTGCAGAGCAGCCTGCCTCAAAGTTGTCTCCAGTAAAATTCCTACTTCCAGAATGGAAAATTTCAGGCACAAAGTTTCATAAAGTTACAGTGAAAYGAAAGCAGAGGGAACTAACAGAACCTGATGTACTGTTTTGGAAACCCTGACCCTCGATGTAACTTCTTGCCAGAACACGCTTGTCACAAAAATGTTATTTGCAAGCAAATCAACATTGCCCCAAACAGTTTTCTGTCACAGCTCAGACTAAGCAAAGAACATCAGCTCTTCTGGCTTTTTTAGATGCCTTAGGGTTTTTGTTTATCACATTAAAGATTCCCAAAAACACTTGCAGATCTGAAGCCTTCTGTATGTGCTTTTAAGCCTAGAATTTAAAGTGATTTATAATCAATTTATATTAGAAGAATCAGCATTAGAGGAGCATACTGCTTCAAGTCAGACATTGAGTTAACTAAAAACATGAGGAGGGGAAAATCAATCTTGTCTGTTCAGCCTATTGTAAACTATCGTGACAAAAACGTGTTGCATGCTAAGTCTTGTCTCAGCAATAGTGGAAAGATTCCTAAAAAGCACTTGAAAAATTACAAAAATCTGCTTTCTCAATGTAATGGTTAGCATTTATTAAAAGGAAAATTTTGAATTACTATTAGGCAGACTCATTTTATTAGTTCTAGGAAACAAAGCACCTCTTTCACAAATACTTTGATATCAATCTTCCTTCTCGTTACATTTTAACCTGGCCAAGTTAATTTTRAGATTTGGTGTGCAGTTATGGAACCATAATTCCATATTTACCATTTAGATTGGTTATGCATTAACAGCCCTGGGGCTCAGAAAGAACCCCTTTTCTGCCAGGCCTACACAACCGCCCTCAGAGGGATCATTCCCATCCCAGATCTACTCAGACATTAAAAAAAAAAATCTTACAGGAATATGCAAGAAACCCACCCAACACTAGCCACTGCTTTTACCAGTGCCCAAATGCATTTTGTGAACAGTCTTAAGCAGCTGTCAGGTGGCAACAACTTTAAAATCACCATTGTGAAAACAGTGAAGGAACAAACACACCTCACATACCACAAGGTCAGTATAAGCCTGTTTTTCTGTGCTCCCAGAAAAAAGCATTAAGTTTCTGATCTGCTAGATCATGACAGGATTTTCTTGAATAAAAACCCCCATTTTACTATATTTACCAATGGCATCTTGTACAAGCACAGAATTCCTCCCTGAATCATGTGCTCACAGCTGGAGAGGGYGAGTTTTCTACTGCTTATTAAAACAATCCTATAGGATGCTGTGTAGGCTTCAAGTCTTCAATGGAGTAAGTCTCCTACCAGCCCAAGTCTACTATCACCTCAGTAAGATAAAAACTGAATTAAACATTGCTGTATCAGTTGCCAGAACCAAAACAGTTCTATTTAAAGAGGCACAAATGGACTCATTGGCCACAAGTTCAACCATGAGAACAGCAGGCAGCTCCCAAGKCACATGTAAGAAGTCAACATGAATACCAGATGATTTTGTGGGGGATGGTAATTTTCCTTGCTTTTGTGTAATCTCTAGAGACAGCTGGTATTCTACAGCTGCTCCAGCATTACTACCATTAAAGCATTGCTGAAATAACCATCTCATTACACACAGTAATGAAACTGTATTTTATTATAAGCAAAACCAGCTTTTATATCACCAAGAAACCAGGACCTAYACACTTTTCAAAGAGCTACCCATGTAGAAATCACTGTATTTGGAAATCAACTTATCATTCCAATTAGATGGGGGAACAAAAAAGTGTGGAGTTTTACAAAGAAACAAAACCAACCCCAAAAGTAATCAGAAAAAAAGCAGACCTCATTATGTAATATCTGCCAATATCCTGGTCCTTCCAGACAACAACAGCCACTAGCTCCAATTCACAGTATTCCAAAAGAAAACTGACTGCTTGTTCAAACTTGCTCAATGTTTTCTGCTCACCARTTCCAGACATGCTGTTTGGCAAAGAAAATCTACTAGTCCACACTGTGTGCTCTTCAGAACCATTTCCGCATTTCCTTCTTCCAGAAAAGAAAACAGCACAAAGTCACTGAGTACATATACTGCATCTTTGTGGGGAAAAAAAAAGAAGGAAAAAAATGGGGGTGTGGAGGGGTGTCTGATGCAGTGAAAAAGCTACATAGACAACTCATAGGCAACAGCAGAAGCATWTCTGGGAAGCCTGGAGAAAGGTAGGGAACCATCTTCAGTATTCTGCATTGAAAGGGTAGCTCTTGTGTGTTTTGCACCTGGAGGAAATCAAAAAGCAAAGATTATCTCAAAGTCTCAAAAGATATTGTGTGCAGCTGTAACCACTTCAAAGAACCACCAGTGGAGGAGCCAAACTGCATAAAAGCAGAGTCCATTTTSCTTGGTGATATGCTGCATTTCCAAACAAAAAGATTTTGACTGCCTTCTGTCATTTGGGCTCTAAGCATCTCAGGTGATGGRATCTAGGTGCTTTGTAGACAACTAATTCAAGGTTTTGCTGTTTACTGACAGAAGGATCTTTTTCGCAGCATTCCAAAAAAGATTTCATATCTGGCTCTAGGCTTTCAAGCTGCAAATTCTCATGTCATTTTTTGAATGTTCATCTATTTTCCCAACAAGTCCTGAAGAACACACAGATTTTGTAATATATTTAAGCAATATGGAACAAAATACAACAACTAAAGTTAATCAAGACTGAGTCTGCATCATGCTTTCTCCAATACAGACAAAGCAAAAATTATGAATAAGAAGCCTCCTGTTGCAATTCCAGCTACACAGAGTTTCTTGGTGACTGAACAKAAAATGAAGTTTGCTCAATGCTCATCATGTTTTGGTTCATAAAATGAACATTTAAAAAAATCTTACTCTGGAAAGTTATTTTGAGGATGATCCCTTTGAAAATTGAATTTGCATATACTGATTTTCAATCAAGCCTACTGTACACAACTTCACTTACTGATATAATAATAGTGTAAAGAAATGGAAGTACCACTTACATGGTCATTTCACAGGCTCTCCAGTTTCTATTAAAGCTGAGAATAGTTGCCATCTCATCTTGAGTCAATTCAAAGTCAAACACCTAATAAGAGAAAAAGCTGGAAATCATCTCTTTGAACCAATCTGTGCTTGTAAGCAAAAAAACAAAACAAAACAAAACAAAACAAAAAAACAACAACAAAAAAAAACCAAAACAAAAAACTTTAAAACAAAAAAACCACAAAATTAAAAAACAAGTCCATGGTACTCATTAGAAGAAGCGACTGCTCCATGAAGCAAATGGAAAGTGACAGCTGACTGGATTTCTGAGACTCCCCTAGGTGGAGTGGGGAAATGCAGGAATTATAAAATCTCAAGCTGCTTATATATGCCAATTCTTTTAAGAAGTTTAGGGAGCACTTAGTGTTGTAGAATGCCTCCATCTTTCACTTGTGAAGGATGCATCTTTCTATTCCAAAGAAGCTGCTGCAAAACTTCCATATTCCACCTAAAACCAATAAGTGTTTGGAAGCAAAATCCTAATACTGGGTCCAATCCAAGACCATTGAATATAAAGCAGCAACATGGTTTATGGATACCAGGACTATTTCCTTAAAAGTGCTTGCTCTGCAGAAGTCTTCTGTGGTGTGCTACTGCATTCAGACCCCAAATAAGCTGTCAAATGATTCATTCACATGACACAGAACAGGAAGCAAGACATAAAAGGACTGCTCAGATTATCAGSATATAGTGTTTCCAAAAGCTTTGTTCACTCCAGCTCTCCCCGTTGTAATCTTAAATTCAGCCCTCAACAGACTGTAGGTAAACATATGGAGAGAAAAAGCCCAGTTCTCTTGTCAGAAGAACACCTGGGAAGAGTGAGAAAGGATCACTGCTGTGGAAAGAGAAGCCAAGCCACTGATGGACATGCCAGGCACCCAGCTCATTCCTAACGACTCACCTTGAAGTTCTCCACAATGCGCTCTGGTGTGACAGATTTGGGAATCACAATCACATTTCTCTGGATGTGGAACCGAATGAGAACCTGCAAGAGGCAGATCATTGCATCAGAGAGGGGATGRCTCTTGTTCTAAGGCAAGCAGAGTCTGTTCCAGCAGTTTCTTGCTGTAAACAGTACAATTCAGCTGAATKAACCACCTATTTGGAGATGCTTTTCAAATCATACCTGAATTCTAAGCAGGACTTTCTGAAGTGCACATAGAGAAGTGGTGGAATCCCACACAGGCCTCCTTCCTCCTCCCCCCCTGCAGTTTAGCAATACTCATATCCTTTCCTTCCCACCCAGACCCACTAGGCTATTCAAGTCTTCCCTTCTTCGCAACAAGACTTGAGATGGGAAGACAAACATGGCAGCATCTGAAGACAGGTCATAAAARTGTTTGCTGTGATAGTCAGAGCACTCCTGCAAGCATGCATGGAAGKCCACATCAGGAACAAACCTGCATTGCTACCTAACACCATAGGGACAGGGAATGAAAAACCAGCCTGTCCTCCAGATTGTCATGAGCTGTCCTYCATGCTGTGCTACAGGAAGGTGTACTCTGGCACCTACCCACCTGTGCTGATGTTTTGTTGTGCTTGGCTGCAATCTCTTTGATCTTGGGGTCATCCAGAAGGGAAGGATCCTCTGGCTTAGCCCTACACAGAGGAAAGAAGATCAGTGGCAAGAAACATCCACAGGTCCAACCTAGCAGAGATCTGTATCCAAATCAACAATTAGTGATGTCTATATAGTCTCAGGGGTTCAAATTTAATTCACACCAGCTCCTTGGCAAAGCAACCTTACCATGGTCTGTCAGGAGAGCCAAGGGGACTGTAYGCTGTCACAGAAATCCCTTTGGATTGACAGTACTTGATCAGCTTCTCCTGGGTAAGGTATGGATGGCATTCCACCTGCCAACATAAAAGTAAACAGACTGACAGTGACTTAACTGCTTTAACATGTTCCAGGGATTTGTTTTTAATCAAAGGCTGATTTTTGTGCTAACTCATGGTCTCCAAGTTATATTACAGAGCCTTTGTTTTCTCTATGCACCCAGCGCCTTTCTATTTATAGTAGTTCTTTGCAGTGAAGGCTCCAAGGACTGTAACAAAACTCCTTTTTTTAAGAAGTTTTCTTATCCAGATCATCTCCAGCATAAGGGAAACTGGTTACATAATATCTTCAATGGRACACTTCAGTAAAATGCCCACTCAGGAAGGTATAAAATCACAGCAATAGGATTGGAGAGCGGGGAAGTACAAAGTTATCTTTTCATCCCTAACTAAACATGCTATAATATTTTTTACAGCTACTTACATTAACTTCAATGCCAGCATTGTCTCATTAGTTTTTATTTGCTTTGTGTCAATACCTCCAGTCTGAAAATTGTGAAAATAGCTGCCTGCTAAAGATTTTAGACCCTCAGCCCACTGTCCTTTACAGACCCTTTATAAACACACATGAATATACTGACCATTAATTCCCATAAAAATAGTTACCTAATGGAATACAGGCTCCTTAACAGTGGATCTGTGTTCTAGCCAGCAAATGCACAGATATGCTGCATGGAACACAAACTATTTGTGTGTCAGGAGGCAGTGAATGAACATGAATATTTGATACTTTGCACAGAGGGWCTTTCAGGACAATTCTACAGCAGGGAGCACTACTTTTCTTTCAGCAACCAACATCARGAATCGTTTTGACTACACTGCCATTTGAGCCTCCTGCAGCTGCACTCTGAAGGCAGTCCCTGGAAACTTGTGCTGCTGGCAGGTGGAGCAAGGGASTGCAAAACATGGAATCAGTTTACAGCCTTGAGCACTTTATTTGTGGTTCTAGCTGCCTGCTGTTATCAGAGGCCTGCATGTTTCTCCTCTGAGACATGTTGGAATATTAAACAGAACACAGAGCTCCATTTTTRGGACAGATGATACATATTTATTTTTCTTCAGCAGTTGCAGAAAGACAGCTACTCAAGAGCCACAGAGCATCTAGTTTTCTCAGATATTTAGTAGGTAGAATTTATACAAAAAGCAAGGCAAAGTCACCCTCACCTGTTCACTGGCACTCAAGTTGAAAAATTAAGTACTAGCATCGTTATGTAACTACTACCTTGCCAAATTAATTTCTCACTACAACTGAAACCAGCATCCATCCTGGCGGCATTCAAATAAAGAATGGGAATGACATGAAAGACAGTGGATTACATGTGAAATATCTGCAGTGTTTTCAGGAAGCAGTATTACTATTAGCCCAACTGGTAAGTGTCATAGCAGACAAGTTTTCAGGCTTGCAGGCATTCCTTCAGAAGCAGTAATTTATGAAGGACAGAGACTAAGGATCCAATGCTTTGTGCTTAACTTCATTATAGTCAATCAGTCAGAGGTTGAGAACATTTACAAGCCTGATAGGTCCAAGATCAGTGACCTCTACACCAGAAACAAGGATCATTCTCGTACAATGACAGTGGTAATGAGGTGTGGCAGATGTTGAAATATATAATAAAACTTACAGTAAGTTTCATAATAGTGCATTGGGACTGATAATGCTCAAACTACCACAATAAATCACCAAGTTCTAGCAATCAATAACTGYGACTGCAGTCATTCAAAAGCCATAGGAATCAAGGTCAAGTCTCAGTAGACCCCACAGGGGTCTAATCTGGGACTTGTGCTCTTCAGCAACTGGCGCCAGTCCATAATCATGTCAATCTTGTGGGACATATCAAACTGGGCAACAACCAGGCAATACACTCAAGGGCAGGACTGCCACTTCAGAGAGACCCACTCAGGCAGAAACAACAAACAAAAACTTTAAGGAATTCAACAAGGCCCTACACGAGGACCTGCACCTGGGAAGGAAAAGCCCAAAGCCAAGCACCTGAAAAGGAAAAGCCCCTGGCAATAACACAGGCTGAAACCTGACTACCTGCAAAGCAACTATGCTGGAAAGGACCTGGGGATCATAGTAGGCTGAGCTGGACATGAGCCAGCAGACAGCCCTGGCAGCAGGAACACAGCCAGTGAATTGTGGGAAGTGATCATTTGCCTCTACTCACACTTGCCAGACCACCTTCACAATACTGTGTCCAGTTTTCCCTCTTCCCAGCTTCCCTCAGTAGAAAAAATAGACACACTGCCATCAATTCAAGCAGAGGAACTCCAGGATGGGTAAGGGCTGGAGAACYTGTCTTACTGGGAAAGGCTGAGGCAGCTGGGCTTGTTCTRCCTGGAGAAGGGAAGGCTTCAGGCCTTCTAGTAGCAGCTTTTCAGTACCTAAGAGGTCATTCAAAAACAAGCCAAGCTCTTTATTGGTGCTTGGAGCAAGGCAACAGATGCAGCTGAAAACATGAGGTTGAGATGGGATGTAGGAAAGCTCCCTCTCCCTGTCATACACTCAAGGCAGGAGGTCAGGCAGAGCTCACTGCCTAGGGAGTCTCCATCCTCACAGGTTTTYCAGATGGATAAAGTCCTGAGMAACCTGGTCTGATCTCAYAGCTGRTGMTTCTGTGRTCARATCATCTCCCAAGGTCTCCYRCCACCTGAATTTTCCTAAGACTTCAYCCAAGTGCTCTCTATGCAACTGCTACTCTATGGCCTACCTTGCAACTTCATTTTCTCCTTCCTTCTAACCCCCGTGACATCTGAGCCATCCAAAAAGCATGTTCCTGATCAATTCCCACCCTCATTAGCAACAGGAAMTGGCTTCTCTACAGTAGTGCTATGAAAAGGTCATCCAATTCTCTGTTTTTACACATACCAAGTTTTACTCTATTGCAAGGAAGTTTTTAGAGCTCCCCCTCCTTCCCTCATACAAGAAGGGATTCTGGAGMTGCTCGTTGCCAGATTTCCAAACAGTGGCACAGAGACTTAATAAAAAAAACCAGCACCTTGGCATACAGATGCAGCTGGAGGATGGGATTGAAGAATATGCASAGGCTACTCCATTCTCTCTTTCTAYAACCTTATTTCAAAGTAAGATCTTAGTAATTTTCTTTAAAAAAATCCAACAACAAATGACACTGCAAAAAATAACACTGCCAAAACATTTCCCTATGTCAACTTGCAGCTTACCTGATTAGTTGCAGGCTTGTATTTCAGTCCTGGCTTGTTCAAGATTCTTTCAATTTGCTCATGGTTGAAGTTGGAGATTCCAATGGCTTTTACCAGWCCAGCATCCACYAGCTCTTCCATGGCCTGACAGAAAGAARCACAAAGTCAGCATCTAGTATACAAAGTAGGGCCTGAAGAGCACATTCTTCCTGACATACCTTGTTTCCTTYATGAGAAACCTGAAGTAAGTATTTAGATTTCCAGCGTTCAAGTTTGAGGAAAAAAACCTCAGAGCACTTATGTATTTGTGCCATTTGTCCTGTGCTCAAAAGGTTCATTCTTTGAGATTGTGGAAATTCACAGCAAGTTAGAAGTGGAAAATGATGAATTAATACACAGTAATCCACTATTATACCTGTGAATCCTTCTGAACAGTCCCAAGTATATGAGACTGCCTCCTGTTCTCAGCAGTCTCTCTGATGTTGTCATTACCTTCAGCAGTCTAAACTTTCTCCTTCTGTGGTTGAACTTACCTCCCAGGTCTGTAGAATATCTGTGTTGCTGGGGATAAACATGCCTTTGTCATCTACAGGGAACAGCTCCTCTCCTGCCTGTCAGTGAGAGAGAAATGGATTGAAGCACTCTTTATTGGGAGGTTRGGTCACCATCAGCTGAAGAGCATGATACTATAAATTCTTTATAAACTCTTACTGCAGGATAAACTATTTCTTATTATTATACTAATTATCTACACATAATACTCACTATCTACGTCTTTTCTTTTGTTTTCATATGGCATTATGGCAGTTTTTTTGCCTACAGTCAGCCCAGTAAGGACAGACACTTATGATGGACACTGCATCCCCTGGCTCATCAAATCCATAGGGTGAAACTTAAGTCTCCACTTGTAATACAGAAAGTAGAATTATAGCCAGTTTACAAAGGTATACAGTTGCCACCTGCTCATAATGAAGTGTTTTAGTGAAATGGATAATAAAGACCCAGTTAGGACTTGCAATGTGTTCACCTTATCCTGGATCACATTTCCTGACAAGTGGAGAGACTCATGGTTTAAGTTGCTGGCATAGGGAATGTTAGAACTACATGCCGGRTATCAACTTCACTCAGAACTAGTTATTTTCTACTCGTTCATTATTTACAACACAACATATTTTCACTTTGATAGTTCTGCCAATGTGAAGCTGATTTTAAAAATACAGATATTATGATGAACAGTTCATCTCGGAATYAAGAGGCAGAGAAAATATTTTGATCAAGCTCTCACAGAAAGACTAAGCTAGGACATATTTAAACTGAGACACCAGTTCCTTTGCATGCAGTCAGTAAAAGAGTTAGGAACAATAAAGTTTAACCTTTTTAAATCCAAGACTTGTGGAATGCTAAAATTCTTATAGCAAAGGTCAGTTCAAGCCAGATTGTATTAAAGGACCCAGTGATTTAAGACAAAAATGAAAAAYAGAAACAATCTCTTATTCTGTGAATCTGTAACATGCCAAGGAAAGAACTTCTATCAGATAGCAAAGTCTCTTCCCACACAGAAGGAGCCACACCATTATCAAATAAGCCTACTTTGGATTTGTAGAAGGCAAYACAAGCAATAATCATAATCAAAAAGAGAGATATAACTTTTGCTTGCAGCAGGGAAACCCATCCCTCGGGTTCAAGGTTTGCCTTTTCCATGATCAAAAGGGCAGCAGATGCCATGTAAGCAGGGATCTCAGAGGTAGGAATCAACAGCCTGGCTCACATGGCCACAGTAAAGCTGAACACCAGAGCAGAGCTGCTACACAAGAGACGCAGGATGATCTGTGCAGCTGGATCAATCATTGGGCTATAAAGCCACATAGCTCTTCAAAACTGCCACTCACAGACAAAGCCAAGGGTTTCAAGGTTACTGTACCTTRAAACCAAGAGGCCAGTGGATGAGGTAGAGATCCAGATAATCCAGTTTCAGGGCAGCAAGGGTCTTCTGGCAGGCTCCCTTCACCAGAGGCTTGTCATGAAACGTGCACCACAGCTGGAGACAAAAAGCAAAGACACATTGTGACCTCCTGGGTTAAAGCTCTTGGAATCTTCTGTACTGTTCAGCAGGGTGCCTGTTCCCTTTGGAAACTGATGAGAAACCGGCTCATCCTACAGCTCTTCAAGCAGGGCTTGTTCTGTGAGCAGGACTGGCCTATGATACTGAACAATAAGCGCAGTGGCAGCACACATGACTGCATGTCCTAGCAGACAGCAGAAATAAATTTCACTGATTAACACTGAAATTAAAAAAACACCTACTAGGTCAGACTGTGCACAAAAGAGGACAGCATAACTTCACACCAGAAAAAGTTGAAAGCATCACCTATATTCGTGGTACCCTGCATAATTCTCAACATAGGATAAGGTAAAGTAGGAAGCCTGTCTCAAGAACGGCTTAAGTGATGTTCTGAATTGTTCCATGTAGCACCACAGAGTAGGCAAGGAAATAATTGGGGAGTTACTTTTTTTTTAAAAAAAATAAAATCTCCTGGTATATTCTATATCACCTGACCCATACCTTACTGACAATGAAGAGATCCTCTCGCTTCACGACACCTTCCTTGATTTTCTGCTGGATCCCTTCCCCAACTTCATTTTCATTCTGGTACACATAGGCGCAGTCAAAGTGACGGTACCCGGCATCGATGGCAGCCATCACTGCCGCTGTTACTTTCCCTGGCTGCGACTGAAAAAAGCGACGGCAAAAAAGCTCTCATCAACACAGTATTGAAGACCTTTTTCATGGCAAGATAAAACTAAGAAAGCCACCACATTCTCAGCAATCCCCAGTTAAAATAAAGCCAAGTCCCAAAGGCGGCCTGGCCGGGTGCCGGCAGCGCTGCGCGACCACAGCCGCGCTCGCAGGGCCCGAGCCGCTCTCCTTCCTTCCTTCCCCCCCCTCCCCACCGCCTCACGCCGCCAGCCCAGGGGAGCGCGTCCCGGTACCTTCCATGTGCCCAGCCCCAGGATGGGCATCTTGGCCCCGGTGTTGAGCTGCACGTAGTTCACCATGGCCCCRCCAGCAGCACCGCCACGGCCGCTGCCGAAACCCGCGCCTTTAATAGCGAGCGGGGGCCGGGCCCGCCCGGCGCGGAGCGGGAGTGTCGGGGCGGTGCCGGGCCCTCAGCGCGGGGACGGGCGTGAGGAGCGGGGGTGTCTGCGAGTTCTTGGGGTGGGCATCGATCCCGGGCTGTGTCGGAGTAGCGGGGGTGTCTGCGAGTTCTCGGGGTGGGCATCGAGCCCGGGCTGCGTCCGAGGAGCCGGGGTGTTTGCGAGCTCACGGGGTGGGCATCGATCCCGGGGTGTGTCGGAGGAGCGGGGGTGTCTGCGAGTTCTCCGGGTGGGCATCGATCCCGGGCTGTGTSGGACGGGCCTGGTCCCGGGGCTGAGCTCACCGCACACGGACTCTCCCGCTGCACCTCGGTCCCCTGGAATCCCATCCCCGGGGCGCGGGTGACAGAGGGAACATGAGACAGAACTGCCTCCCCTCGCCCTCAGAGGTGTTGGCGCGTTCYGTGCCTCAGGGCATGGAAACGCTGAGCTCTTTCCCGGAGCAGTGTGTCCCCGCCACAGGGGTGATGGCCCGGGCTCGTCCTGCGTGTCGGGATCCTGTGGCCCTGTGTGCTCGTACAGCGACACGACAGGAGAATCCTCGGTGTGGCTGGCTTGTGGGAGCCAGGAGAAGCTGATCCCTGCGCCAAGTGGGACAAACGCAGCTTCTACTGCGAGTGCGGCTTGGGAGTATTTTAGGATAAAGTGAGTTTAAAAAAATGTTGAGTTTTGTGAAGTGTTTTTTTAAGGTGTTTTGGACGTCACAGAAAGGAACAGTGACTTTTTAATGAGCGACATAATGATCATGTTGTCCTTCCATCTTTAAGGAAGTGCTGAATAAAATGCATGATTGTAATCATATGTGGCGGTGGCCAGCAGTATCACATCACAGACTGGCTTTGATGCTTTTGCAGACAAACATACGCTGTTCTGCTGAAGACGTCACAGCGCAATGGAAAAACCCAGACTTGCCTGGGAGGCTTTGCTGCTTATTCACACATGGACAGTTTCTTCAGGTGCTAGCGTTTGCTCTGGGTGCGTCTCCCTGCTCTCTGCAGATTCATATTTTTTGCTCCATTTAGCTAAGGATGGCGAGGTAATTGGTTTTCCTCTTTAATGTTCCTCCTGTTTTGTGTCAGCACCATCAGACATCCCTGACAGGATGCGATGTGCTTTCTCTTGGATCACACAACCAGTAYRCAACTTGGTGCTTRTYTCTTACCACTTGGGTTMAGTTTTGCCTCATGGTTTCAAGTCAKAGAGATGCCTCCACCTTGTCAAAAGAGGCTTCAGGCAGAAGTTCTGTATTTTGTTTTTGAGGTTCGCTGTCATGAGCTGGAGCCTTTCCYCTCAGATCCAGTCAGCTTTTCAGGGTTTATCTCTCCCGAAGGTCTGGTGGGGGCCATTACATGGCAGTGGGGCCTTGAGAGAAGAAGAAGTACTGCATGTGTCACCCTGTGACAGCCAGCCTGCTACATCTTGTGCTCTCTGTCCTTGATAACATGGTCATGCCTTTACAGTSAATGCTGACAATGAGGAACTGTGAGGGGGAGGAGGGTCTTTTTTTTCCTTGATCCACGTGCACTGAAACAGGAGGCGCAATATCATGAGTTTTCTGTTTGTTTTGCTGACTTTGCATTTAGTAACTGTAATTTCACCACAAGTTGTGACTTTGGAGACCAGCAGTGTTTGGAATCTGAGAAGAGAGCCCAAAATAACAGAAGTGGGTATGTCCTTATGTACAGTGTTCACCAGACAGACCCTTTCAGAGTGTCCTGCTGGAAAAGCATGAAGGCAAAGTAGGGAGCTGACAGAGCTGCAAGATATGACCATTTCTGCAGCTGAGGGAAAGAGCTGCAGGGTTCTGAAACTACACAGGCTCACTTAGAGCAGGGTTTGGAGGCGAGGGCATGCAGGTTTCAAGCTTGAATCGCTGGGAAGCACATCAGGAATTTCTGCCTTGCTTGGAGGGGAGATTTATCTTGCTCAGTGGGGGGTTGTTCAACCTCTCGGGGGCAGAGCAGAGGGATTTGGCCACCCCTGACAGTAGAAGACCTCTGCCTCTTTTTCACTCTGAGCTCAGATCAGTCCAGGAGCATATCTTGGTGGATCTCYCATATTCTCCGAGCTGATAATGCTTTATGTTCTCATGCTGTATTTGTCCTTTAATCCCACCTGCTGTAATAACCAGCCCCAGGCACAGCCGAGGAGGAAGTGGTCCCGCTACTCCTCTGTGGTGATTACCGTGTGGGTTTAGTCCAGCAGGGGAAGCCTGGGCCAGGGGAAACCATGAACTGCCCCAGGTCGATCAGGGCTGATTCTGGCTGGCTCTATAACTGGTGCTGCCACTTGGGGTGACAGTTCTGGCACATGGGAAGCACTTGTGTGTCCCCCACAGTCCCTCTGGCTGGTGAGAAGGAGGGCAGCCCCTCACTCCAATGGGGATGGCTGCTGAGGGTCCTGCAGGCTGGGCCACCCTTGCTGGGCAGGACAGCAGCAGCCCTGGGGACAGTGGCAGTCCTGGGGACAGCAGACTGCCCACCCAGGAGCTCTAGGATCCAGTAGGCAAGACTGAGTGGTGACAGGAACCATCAGGCACCCAGCATCACCCTCTGAGCCCCCCTTGATTCCAGGGAGGGATTGGGATGGCCTGGATGTAATCTGTGGTGAACACTGGGAGAGTGGAGAGGAGGATGGGGAGGGGATTGGTGTTTGGTTTAAACAGAGGCTGGGGAAGGGGAAGGCATTTACTTGTTTATTCTTCAGGGTAATTTTTTCTCTCCACAGTACCCAAATCACAGCCCAGAACTGGAGTAGTGAGCAGAACTCTGGAAGGAGCAACGATCCTGGCCCTGGGAATACACGGTGGTGGAAGTGGAGCAGCCAGTGCAGGTCCAGGGGTGAGTACAGACAGTGTGCAAACACTGAAGAGAGGAGGCACCTGGGCTGACCAGTGCTGGGTGGGAAGATGACTTAGGAGACAGGTGCTTTCTGCCCTGGCATCTTTGGGGAAACTGAAAACTGATGGCAAAGTGAAAACAAAGCCTGTTCAGGCAGTCTGAGCTGCAAGGTCAGGTAGGCCTGTGGAGGTGGGAGTGCTGCTCCCCAGGATGGGAATGCTCTCTTGACAGTCCTTCTCTCAGAATGAAATTGCAGAAATATTGGATGCTTGCAGTGGCTRTATCAGTGCTAGAGCATGAACAAATAGGATACAGCTTTTTCTTTGTAAGAGCAGAGTTGTGGGAAGTTTGGGCTCTATGCTACTAGCAAGCACTGCCCTTCACAAGGGAGGAAGGCTTTAGGCTCCAGTGAAGGGCTGTGGGGAGCAATGGTCTGATCCTGCTGACCCCACAGATGAGACTCCCCCACAGAGGGACTGCAGTTGGACTGCTGGGTTGTGTTTACAGGCAAGGGGGAAGGGACCCTGRAAAAGTGGTGATCAYTGATGCTGKGTCCTGAAAGCTACAAAGTCTGAGCACAGTTACTACTGGTATCTCTTGATAAGCTGTTGGGACATCAAGGAGTAACTAACACTTGTTGTACAGGACAGTGCATGCCAAAAGATGGGCAGATTRRTGGCATGACCAAGGATAATGCTGGGAGTTCAGCTTGGAAAACATTTTAGAAGCAGTTGGACTGTTGCAATGTTAATCCTGATAATTTTGTCTGCTGGAGAAAGGGAGGGTTTGGGATGTGTCTTAGGTTCACACTGGTGGGATGGTAACTACACTGGTCTGCAGGGGCAATGGGTGGAGTTTATAATGAATATACAGTAAGATTATGATTATGTTAAATATGGAGATTGAAACAATTATTCATATATCTTCCAGTTCAGTGAAGGGAGGAATGTAAAAAACATAAATTGCAGATAGTGTCAAGGAATGGCAGTGGTGATCTGTGTGGAGGCCACTGAAACAAAGACCCTATCTCATGGCAGAATTTAACTAAAAGACACTGCACTAAAAAGACAGTGGTCTAAACCTTTGCATCATAGCAACGTGATGCCCTTATTGTTCAATAAAAATGTGTATTTGATCTCAGCAGAGTGTTTCAGCCAGGGGATTACAGAAGGTTTTATGGGTTGCTTCCTTTAGGAAGCTGCAAAACAAACTGCYTTAGATTACATTTTCACAAATTGAAAATGCAAATTTTGGAAAGAAGCTCCGAAGGTGCTTGTTATCTTGAACAAAGGTTTTTCTCTTGTCCCTTGAAACCCAGTGTGCAACTTTATGATTGTGTTTGGTCACCTGCCCAGGCGTAGGAAGCGGAAAGGTGACACAGTCCCAAAAGCAAATACCTTCTCATCTCGCCTGGGGCTGTGGGGCCAAGGGCAGTGGTGGATGGGTGGCTGGGCTGAAGTGGGAGGTGGATGGAGCTGGAAGGACATTTGGAGAATTTGGCCCCGAGGCTGACAGGGCCAGAGGGGCTGCCCGCACTTCGGGTGTTGAGCTCCCCGTGCCAGCAGCCACGCCCCGCTGTGTGACAACAGGGATGTCCCAGGCTGTGTGACAACAAAGGAGACAGCACGGGTCGCTGAGGGCTGGCTGCCCTCTGCTGTCCGCAGGGGAATGTGCCCTGTCCC